CACACAGAGGGGCTGGGGAGACAAAGGGACATGTAAAGGGGCTAGGGGACTAAGTTACACACAGAGGGACTGGGGTGGCAAAGATAAATACAAGGGTTGGGGAGGACAAAGGGACACACAGGGGCTGTTGGAAAAAAAGGAAGTTTGTTGATATCTGGCTGAGAACATGTAAGGCAAATATACAAAGGGGCGAGTTCCATACATATATATCTATCGGACCAGGGGACACTGTCCAATCACACACACTTACAGAACATTGAAGCATACAAGGCTCTTTTATCTTAGAAGTCTGTCCACAAATTAACTCTTGTGAACACTGAATGCAATTGGAACTATGGTGGGTTACATTCTTAGTGTCAATCAGATTCCCTGAAAACTTACGTGTCCAACACTGGGCAGGATAAAGGGGTGGACCAAAGATAACTGGAAGCACAAAGAATTTACACATCATATCATATTGTTCAATACTGTAGGCAGTAAAGCGGCCTATGCACATTGTATCATTACAGTTTTGATGGTTAGTATTAGGGATCGACTGATTATCGTTTTTTCCGATATTATCGTCCGATATTCAGATTTTTTGTAAATATCGGTATTGCCCGATAATCACCAGTAATACGAATAATGAGGTGGGCTGGTGCATCCATAAGGCGGAACAAGGGGCGCCTTAGGGCACACAGGCCCGGGGGGTGCTAGAATAGAGGGACTGTCAGGAGGTGGGCACACAGCGCTCCCTCCTGCCAGGCACTCTGTGTAGCATGACCGAGCAGAGCAGTGCGCACCGTTGTACAGGAAACCATATGAATGCTGTAAACAGCCGAACTGGAACCATACGAATTCTCCAAACAGTCGAATAGGAAAAACCATACGAAAGGTTTACACTCCTAGCAGTCAAACTGGAACAGCATACAATAAATCCCCCCCCCAAGAACAAGACAAGGCTCCGTGTTGAGGGTCAAGCAGGAACAGACAGAGCTGTGGGTTTATTGTTCTTATATACACATTCTTAAACATTAGTACCACCCGCAGGGTTTTGTGAAACAACCAATAAACACGTAATACACAGTAAAACACTCTCATTCATTCCAGCAGAATCCTCCCCTCTGCGATATAATTACTGAACACAATGGGCTAACGTAATTATCACAGGTAGGAAAATACACAGTTTTACACAATGTTCATAACTTTAAAAGTAAATATCACATTTACATAAAACATTTTCAGAATCAGCATACTCCAAATACAAACATACATCAAAATCATACAAATTGGTCCAGTGGGTCAAAAGTTAGTTGTAAGTCAATTTGTGACCGCCTGCAAGCATGGCTTGGGTGTGGTAAGCCAATTATCTCCAGCATACAGACAATAGCTCTATTCACAACAACAGTAAAAATACACAAAAATACATAATTCCCATTACACTGAACAGAGCCCCCACATTCAACCTATCCCCAGATAGCTTGGATCTGAGCGCTCAATATATCCGAACAGCGCTCAGATCCCACAAACAGAACAAAACCACCATGGGGTTAAGTCTAGCATGGGCTGATGAGAGGGGCCATAGTCATGAGGCAGGAGGCTGGCAACCAGGCTTCTCCATAACCCAGTGGCGAGGTTAGTTTCGCCACGGGGGGGAGAAGGAAAAACACTATGGGACAGTGTGGCGAAACCAACCTCGCCACTATGCACTGGAGAAGCCTGGTTGCCAGCCTCCTGCCATCTGACTATGGCCCCCTTGTGAATTCATACTTTTGTATGCAATATTTGGGCATGTGACATTGTTATATTGCTGCTACTGGCCCTTTAAGGGCCATCCGTGGACATACAGGGAGTGCAGAATTATTAGGCAAGTTGTATTTTTGAGGATTAATTTTATTATTGAACAACAACCATGTTCTCAATGAACCCAAAAAACTCATTAATATCAAAGCTGAATATTTTTGGAAGTAGTTTTTAGTTTGTTTTTAGTTATAGCTATGTTAGGGGGATATCTGTGTGTGCAGGTGACTATTACTGTGCATAATTATTAGGCAACTTAACAAAAAACAAATATATACCCATTTCAATTATTTATTATTACCAGTGAAACCAATATAACATCTCAACATTCACAAATATACATTTCTGACATTCAAAAACAAAACAAAAACAAATCAGTGACCAATATAGCCACCTTTCTTTGCAAGGACACTCAAAAGCCTGCCATCCATGGATTCTGTCAGTGTTTTGATCTGTTCACCATCAACATTGCGTGCAGCAGCAACCACAGCCTCCCAGACACTGTTCAGAGAGGTGTACTGTTTTCCCTCCTTGTAAATCTCACATTTGATGATGGACCACAGGTTCTCAATGGGGTTCAGATCAGGTGAACAAGGAGGCCATGTCATTAGATTTTCTTCTTTTATACCCTTTCTTGCCAGCCACGCTGTGGAGTACTTGGACGCGTGTGATGGAGCATTGTCCTGCATGAAAATCATGTTTTTCTTGAAGGATGCAGACTTCTTCCTGTACCACTGCTTGAAGAAGGTGTCTTCCAGGAACTGGCAGTAGGACTGGGAGTTGAGCTTGACTCCATCCTCAACCCGAAAAGGCCCCACAAGCTCATCTTTGATGATACCAGCCCAAACCAGTACTCCACCTCCACCTTGCTGGCGTCTGAGTCGGACTGGAGCTCTCTGCCCTTTACCAATCCAGCCACGGGCCCATCCATCTGGCCCATCAAGACTCACTCTCATTTCATCAGTCCATAAAACCTTAGAAAAATCAGTCTTGAGATATTTCTTGGCCCAGTCTTGACGTTTCAGCTTGTGTGTCTTGTTCAGTGGTGGTCGTCTTTCAGCCTTTCTTACCTTGGCCATGTCTCTGAGTATTGCACACCTTGTGCTTTTGGGCACTCCAGTGATGTTGCAGCTCTGAAATATGGCCAAACTGGTGGCAAGTGGCATCGTGGCAGCTGCACGCTTGACTTTTCTCAGTTCATGGGCAGTTATTTTGCGCCTTGGTTTTTCCACACGCTTCTTGCGACCCTGTTGACTATTTTGAATGAAACGCTTGATTGTTCGATGATCACGCTTCAGAAGCTTTGCAATTTTAAGAGTGCTGCATCCCTCTGCAAGATATCTCACTATTTTTGACTTTTCTGAGCCTGTCAAGTCCTTCTTTTGACCCATTTTGCCAAAGGAAAGGAAGTTGCCTAATAATTATGCACACCTGATATAGGGTGTTGATGTCATTAGACCACACCCCTTCTCATTACAGAGATGCACATCACCTAATATGCTTAATTGGTAGTAGGCTTTCGAGCCTATACAGCTTGGAGTAAGACAACATGCATAAAGAGGATGATGTGGTCAAAATACTCATTTGCCTAATAATTCTGCACTCCCTGTATTCTGCCTGTTAGGAATAATGCCTTTTTAAGACTGTGTAGCAAATTGCATTCAGGCTGTATTTAATATTATGTGTTCGGTATAAAGTGTTATGTGAATGCAGCATTCCCTGATTGTTCGGTAGAATCACTTCATTCATTATATTGGGTGAAACTACCGAACAACCAGACCACCCGGGAGTAAGTGTGCCTCCAATTACCGTTTGCAACAATGTTGCAAACGGGTAATTGGCAATCGATGTAATATGTGTTGTGTCCTCTGGGTGGCCGCCATTCGGGAAACGAACACGTGGCGGCGGCCATCTTAAACTCCCGAACAGCGGTGTTTTGCCGTCGAGTGTCTGGAACTAAAATCGGACACTCGACTAAGCAAACACCGCTGAGACCTCCAGACTTCCAGCAATTCGTGCAGAAACTACCGAACGGCCCGCCGTTCGGTAGAAAGGATCCCACGAACAGGGGGATTCATACGAATCCTCCCCAAGCTCTGTAACACAGGCAATTCGTGTGTTTGATTCCCTTTTCTGTGACCGACTGCAGGGCCAAAATACATGGAACTATTTTCGGATACTTTTGCCATGCAGTCGGTCAAAACTTTAACCCTTTATAATTCCTGAACCCCTGGTCCGATCTGGGTGATTTTTGGATATGTGTCTCACCCAGATCAGGGCTACCAGGGGATGTAACATTTAAAGGGGTACCCCTATGTTTAGGGGTACATCCAGTATCCCAGGGAATTTGTGTTTGCACTAATGGGATTATGTGTCACACTAAGGGGAGGAGATGTGTGGGAGGTAACTGGTACATTATTGGCTGGGGTACTAATTGTTGTGGATCCCTCCCTTGCATGGGAGAATGTCTTAAAAGGAGGCTGTGTGAATAAATCTGGAGATTCTGCTTAACCCTCAAAACGAAGTGTCGTCTCGTTATTGGGGGAATTGGATTGTGTGCTGACTGCCAGGAGTGTAAGCCGTTTGTATTGCTTTTCCTGTTCGGCTGCTTCCAGGGTTCCTGTGTCTGCTGTTCGAGAGTGGTGAATACGTGCAGTTTGGAGTTCAGGAGGTTGGTGATTGCAGTAGCTGCTGGTCTATGGGAAAGGGGATTATCGCCTAAACGGATTTTATCCCCTTGTGAGAGAAACGGTCCGTTACAGACAGGTGATGGTGGGAGAGAAGGAACAAAACACTATGGAACAGGGGAGGGTGGGAGAGAAGAAAGAACACTATGGGACAGGTGTGGAGGGAGAAGGTAAAAGTACAGAATATTGTAAGCTATCGGCTAGCGGCCTGAAAGTTCCCAGATTAACAGTATCGGCTCTAAAAAATCAATATTGGTTGATCCCTAGTTAGTATTCATTCTAAGCCACATAGGGTTAATACGTTTACCAAACATATTGCATGCAGTGGAAGCCTTTAGATTCAGGAGGTTCATTTTTGCAGTGTATTTCTGCTGAAGAATGTATATCTATTGCAGACTATAAGCAGTATACTTAATGTATTCAGAGATTGGTTAGTATTTGCTGGGTTGCATACACACTCATGTTAAATAGCTGAAAGGGCCTCGTTGTTGTAGGATACGGTATATTCTTGAGGGAGATATATGGAGGGCATCCATTAACCTTGTAACTTTCCACATCTCTACACCTACACCTGCTATTTTACTTCTCACTACCTCTAGATCCATAGCATTTAGAAACCCTGTAGCTGTTCCTGTAGCCCCTAACAAAGTATCATACTCTTCTCTCTTTGGTCTGGAATGGGGCTTACATTTAGGTATTTCTGGGAACAGTGTTTGATAATTCACATGGATGTGGCCAGCTTTTGTAGAAACATTCTGACATGTAGCTGGCAGATGGACTAGATAGTCAGCAGAAGCCTTTAGGTTCATCCCCATATTATTTGCAAGTGAAAACCATGTTTGCCTAACCTGTATTACTCAATTGTTAGTACATGCAAAGGTGTTGTGGTCAGTCATGTTCACCACCAAACTAGCACTCACATTCACAGGTCACTCTTTCAAACATCCCAATAGCTTAGACAATGTCTTTCCATCACGGTCTCCCCAATCGAACTCTTTTATGCATGAGGTGTTGAGGAACCCACAAGAAATAGAGACAATTTGGAGCCATGTCACAGTAAAGTAGTCATGTCTTTGCCTAAGTACAGTCGACCCGGTTTCCCACTATACCAATGTCCATAATTTTTTCTGATGCTAGCCAGTCTGCAGCTGGGGACATGTTAGTGTTGGCAAAGCAGGTGTTAATGTCCTGAGTCCTGTTAAAATTTGCTCTTTCCCAGCTAAAAAACATTATAGGGCCATTTGAATGATCTTTTATCTTAGTCCCAGGGGTAATACAGAAGGTAAAGGTCGGTATAACAGACAAGGGTATGAAAAGTAACTTCATTCTGGATCAGGCACCAATTTACAGTGACTAGTGTGAATCCAAGTAGATTTTCCTTCTGGCTTTATGGATGTGGCAGTAGTCAACAGTACTTGGAAGGGACCATCTAATCTGGGCTCCAGACCTTTCCTCACATGTCTCTTTATCATTACCCAATCTCAAGGCTGAAGCGTGTGGGTAGAGGAGTCACTATCAGGATCTAGAATAGAATCGAACACTTGTTTATGCACTCTGTCTAATCTTTGGTGTAAGGCCTGTACATAGGCAGTCATGTTGGTGTGTTGCAGCTGGAGGGTTTGGGGGAAGTAGAGTCCTGTTCTGGGGTACATCCAAACAGTATTTCAAATGGGGACAGGTGCGCTTTAAGGTATGGAGTAAATCTCATTAAAAAGAGGGCTAGGGAGAGGCATTTTGTCCATGGTTTCCCTGTCTCTTGTATAGCTTTTGCTATCTTATTCTTCAGGGTGCCATTTGCCCTTTCTACTTTCCCACTGACAAATCCCCAGGGCTTGCATTATTTCTTTTATTATTTCTCCAGTAAAGTGGCTCCCTCTGTCACTTTCAATTACCTCAGGTACCACGTATCTACATACCAGTTACTTCAGTAACTTACTTGCTGTTGCCTTTGCTGCAGCCTTCAATACTGGGTAGGCTTCAGGCCAACCTGAAAAGAGATCAATGCACACCAACACATATTCATACACTCCTCTCTTAGGCAGTTGAATATAGTCTATCTGCACTCTCTGAAATGGGTAAAGTGGCCTTGGAGGGTGTTTTAATCACTTGACTTGCATATTTCCTAGCACAAATCATGCAGCTTTGAGTGTGTTTCGCAGCAATTACAGTGAAACCTGGAGCAATCCAATGTGCATTTACTAAACTGATCATGTTCATTTTTGACAGATGTGTGGGTCCATGGGCCACCTGAGCCAGCATTGGGCAAAAAAACCTTGGGTAGACAAAGTCTCATCTTGTCAGCGTTCATCTGTGATCTTTACGTGAGCTGCCATCTTGATGATTCCCACAGTCTTGGGTAGCAGGATAGCGTCCATTAGGGCACTCATGGTTTCTGAATTCTTAATGAGGGTTCCTGCAGATGTGAGAAAATGTCGGGCCCGCCAAAGGGCTCCAAAGTCATGGGCTATGCCAAAGGCATAGATATTAACAGTCTTACCTGAGGCCAATTTGAACGCTTCAGTGAGAGCCTTCAGCTCGGCCTCCTGTGGTGGTTCTGCTTTAATTACCTCGTGTGTAGAGACAACAGCATATCCAGTATTAAAGTTACCCTTCTCATCAGCAAATCGAGAATCATCTACAAAATATTCAAAGTCTGGATTAGACAATGGTGAATCAATCACATGCGAAAAACCTGCAGTTTCCTGAGCCATTAAGGCTGCACAGTCCTGAGGTACCTGGGTCTCAACTAATTCATCAGGTGATAAGGAATGCATAAAAAGGTCTATGCCACTCCCCTCTTTTAAATCCATAGGAAGTAATGCAGATGGATTTAATATCATGCACCGCTTTAAAGTGATATTAGGGGGCATAAGAAAGGCACACTGCATTCTGAGATGCCTGGCTGTATGTATGCACTTGGGCTGAACCTGAGACAGAATGCTGTTAATGTCATGAGGAGTATAGATAGTAATTGGATTGTCTAAAACAATGTCTGTTGCTTTACCTAGCAGAGCAGTGACAGCAGCTACTGCGCTAACACAGGAAGGGGCACCTCTAGCAACAGGATCTAACCTGACTGAGTAATAGGCAACCGGCCTTTGCTTTTGCCCATGGACCTGGGTAACTACTGCTGTTGCATAGCCTGCATGTTCAGTACAGAGCATGGAAAAGGGTTTGTTATAGTCTGGTAGACCCAGTAACAAGCAACTTAAGAGTATAAAAGGCTTCAGTGGCGTACATAGCGGGGTTGCAGGGGTCGCGGCTGCGACCGGGCCTGGCCAACCAGGTGGCCCGGCCACCCTGCAACCCGGTATGTATGCCACTGTGGCCAGCCTCTTCTCCTGGGGGGCCCAGGAGGCTGGCCCTGGTATCACCGGGGGGGCAGGCAGGCTGGCGGGCGCGCGAGTGAGCACTCTCCCCTGAGTGCTTCCTCTTCAGCTCCCTCGCGCACCGCACTGATACTAGAGCCGGAATATGACGTCATCTTCCAGCGCCGGCATCCCTAGGCGGCGTGCGAGGGAGCTGAAGAGGAAGCACTCAGGGGAGAGTGCTCCCTCGCGCGCCCTCCAGCCTGCCTGCCGGGTGACACCACTGGACCCCAGGGAATCCCCTCAGCTCTCCAAAAGGTAAGGAGGCTGGGGGATTATTATTTTTTTTTTTTAAACGTGTGTGTGTTAGTGTGTGTGTTAGAGTGTGTGTGTGTGTTAGTGTGTGTGTTAATGTGTGTGTTAGTGTTAGAGTGTGTGTTAGAGTGTGTGTTAGAGTGTGTGTGTTAGTGTGTGTTAGAGTGAGTATGTGTTAGTGTTAGAGTGTGTGTGTTAGTGTGTGTCTGTGTATTAGTGTTAGAGTGTGTGTGTTAGAGTGTGTGTGTGTGTTAGAGTGTATGTGTTAGTGTGTGTTAGTGTGTGTGTGTTAGTGTGTGTGCTAGAGTGTGTGTGTGTTAGTGTTAGAGTGTGTGTGTTAGTGTGTGTGTTAGTGTGTGTGTTAGAGGTGTGTGTGTGTGTGTGTAGTGTGTGTGTGTAGTGTTAGAGTGTGTGTTAGTGTTAGAGTATGTGTTAGTGTTAGAGTGTGTGTGTTAGTGTGTGTGTTAGAGTGTTTGTGTTAGTGTGTGTGTTAGTGTTAGAGTGTGTGTGTTAGTGTGTGTGTTAATGTGTTAGTATGTGTTAGAGTGTGTGTGTTAGTGTGTGTGTGTTAGTGTGTGTTTGAGTGTGTGTTAGTGTTAGAGTGTGTGTGTGTTAGTGTGTGTGTTAGAGTGTGTGTGTGTTAGTGTGTGTGTTTGTGTGCTAGTGTTAGAGTGTGTGTGTGTGTTAGAGTGTGTCAGGCAGTGTGTTACTTTAGCACTTACCTTTCTCCAGCGCTGGACTCCCTTGGCGCTGGGGATCTCTCTGCCCCGATCCGCCTCTCAGCTCCGAAGGCGCATGCGTGGCAAGAGCCACGCGCGCATTCAAACTGCCCATAGGAAAGCATTACTCAATGCTTTCCTATGGACGTTCAGCGAACACAGTGAGAATCGCGGAAGCTCCTCTAGCGGCTGTCAATGAGACAGCCACTAGAGGCTGGATTAACCCTCAGTGAAACATAGCAGTTTCTCTAAAACTGCTATGTTTTCAGCTGCAGGGTTAAAACTAGAGGGACCTGGCACCCAGACCACTTCATTGAGCTGATGTGATCTAGGTGTCTGTAGTGGTCCTTTAAGTGTATGTGTATCTGCATGCACTGGTGTACATACCGTGGTCGCAGGGATCGCAGCCTTGCGACCAGGTGTCCGCCGCCATGTGTTGCGGCCCCAGCCCACGCAGAGTAAGCGCGTGGGGGGGGGGCCACGAATCAGTTTTCGCACCGGAGCCCCATGGGTTGTGTGTACGCCACTGAAAGGCTTTTTCTGCTTCAAGGAGTTAAATGAAAGGGGTCAAGGGTGAGGCAATCATAAAAGGGATGCATGTAGATTGCTGCAGAGCAAAGCCATGGGCAACAATAGGAGACTGGGCCCAGGAATTACATAGCTGGCCTAGACTGTGTGGATCGGGGATCTTTTGGAATGCAAGTTTCCTATCTTCCATGAGAGGGTCACCAGAATGTTCATTGGACTAAGTAATAGGTTTGTTTTTGTCCTCAATGGCCATTGGAGAGTCAGGACATTGTTGCAAGACTTTGGTTCTGACTGTTTCAGAGACGTGAAGAAGATTGCTAGTTAGCAGGTGTGAAGGAGGTTTAGGAATGGTGATGTTGTGAGATAATATTTTTATCTTTTTTAATGGGGAAAGGGTAGGAAATAGGAATGTCAAAGATGCTGAGGCAAGAGAAAGGGGGTAACCCTAAGTAGAAAGTAACAGAATACAGAGGTACTTGCCTCAGTTTAATTAAAACATAACATTTAATATTTTGATTAAAAGTATTCCTGTTAATTAATCAACAGATAAACTAGAAAATATGTATTGATGCCAAAAAATGTCCTTCTTGGACTATTTGTCAGGAATTTTATTAATTTATTACCGGCCCTTTAAGATAGCATGGAAGTACACACCCCTTTGGCTATTTAAACTCCAATCTCCAACACCTCAGTGCACAATGTGTTAATCTGATTGATTGCATGAACGTCCTTCCTAATCCTTTGGATGACTCTTAGAGAGACCGTGTGTTCCATCACGGGATCCCTTCTGAATCTCCTCTTCATACAACTATAACTTGGATTACCTGGTTAACTAATTTGGACTGGACTTGACTCTGCTTTTGGAATTTCCTTCAATACTGCTTGATCTCTTATTGAACAACCTATTGGACTTTATAAAGGACTTTGCTTATGGACTAACCCTGGACACATCACCTAAACTTCTATTTTCAAGGACTGCCAGTTTATCTCTCTGCTTTGCTGCCACCTCAGATTGCCGTGCTGAAACTGCTTCAAAATAAAAAGTGAGTGGTTCTTATTTTTTTGTTTGGCATTTGTTAAAGAAAAAACATGACACTATTACTTTAGTAGCTTCCACTAGAGTATCTGTTGGGTAAGGTATAAGGATAGGGCATCTGCTTTACCCATCTTGGATCCTGGTATATATATGATGTGGAACAGGAAAAGAGAAAAGAACAGAGCCCACCTTGCCTATCTGGGATGAAGTCTTTGTGATGAGATATTAAACGTTGTAGTGATCCATATATAGGGTTATAGGATTCGGGGTACCCTCCAGTAGATGTCTCCATTCTTCCAGAGCACATTTGATGGTTAGGAGGAGTTCTTTATCTACTATGTCGTAGTTTGCTTCAGCCGGACATTTGGAATGAAAAGCAACCGGAAGTAGATGGTTGACTTTCTCATCCCTTTGTGACAATACAGTCCCAGTGGTGATTTCCAGTGCATCGACCTCTAGGTAATAAGGTTTTGTAGGATCAGGTAATGTGAGGATGGGTGCTGTGGTGAATTGTCGTTTCAGATCATCGAAGGCCTTTTGTGCTTCTGCTGGCCAATTGAAAGTGTTATGAAGCTTTGTCATTGTAGTTAATAGTTGAAACAGACGTGAGAAATTGCAGATACATTTTCTGTTGAAGTTTGCGAATCCTAAGAGTCACTGAGTATATCATCTAGCTATACTACCACAAATTGGTCTAGCAGGTCAAGAAGATATCATTGATAAAGTGTTGGAAAGTGGCAAGAGCATTACACATTACAAAATGACCGTATCTGGTCCTGAAAGCAGTTTTCCAATCATCCCGCTTCTAACTCTAAGTAAGTTATTGGCACCTCTAAGGTCTAGCGTCATGCAGATAGAAGTGTTTTTAAATGGTTTTAAAATGTTCCATGAGTTCAGGTATGAGAGGCAACGGGTATTGTTTTTTTTTTTACTGGAATGTTGTTCGGTTTATTTATTTTGTTATTCTTGCAATATCTTTAATTCAGGTTCTGATAAAGGATATATGTGTCTAAAAAGGATAGGTGCTCCTGGTAACAGGTCAACTGGACAGTCTGGTGAGGGGGCAGTGAGTAAACCCCCTTCTCACTGTACATTTCATTGTAATCCATGTAAGGAGAAGGAAGAAGAACAACGGAAATCTTTTAATGAACACTTATCAAGGATGATATTGATATGTACCACTGGAGTTCTACTGGGTAAACTGTTAATTTCACAATGAGGGGAGTTAAAGGATACCATGCCTTTAGTCTAGCATATGAGAGGGTTGTGCGTTCTCAACCATGGCAACCCCAATATAATAGGAAACAGAGGTGAGGCATTATTTCTGTATGATGGGTACCAATGTTAACAGTGATGGGTGAGGTTTCTTTGGTAACCAGCCAAGACTTCAAATGACTACCATCCACAACTTTAATACATATTGGATATTTTTGTATTGCGACATGGTATACACATGGTGGTAGCAAAGAAAATCCAGGACACAGTCGCTGGCTCCGGAATCTATCATAGTTACATAGTTATATAGCTACATAGCGGAAAAGTAGACATGTGCAATTCATTTTGGTCCAAATTTAAATTTGGACGAATTTCAGGAATTCAGACATTCGGATGTGTGAATTGCCGAAGTGTCGCTTTTCGGAAGTGCCAAAGTGCTTCGGATTTCTGAGAAGTGGCAAAACAGGAGGGAATGATGACAGGAACCTAACCCTAACACTACCCCTAAGCCTACTCTTAACCCTAGCACTAAACCCACCCCTAACCCTACCCCTAGTAGGGTTAGCGGTAGGGTTAGGGGGAGAGGAAGGCTGGAGTTAAGGGTAGGGGTAGTGTTAGGGGGTAGGGTTTAGATTAGGGTTATGGTTGGGGTAGGGTTAGGGTGGGATTAGGGATAAGGGTTAGGGTTGGGTTTAGGGAGCGTAACTATGACATTGGTAATATAGAACTGTTAGCCATCATACTAGCGCTTAAGGAATGGCGACATCTTTTGGTGGGTTCAAAGGATCCCATTCTGATTATTACTAAGAACCTTGCATATATTGGGGATGCCAAACCACTGTCTTCTATACAAGCTCGATGGTCATTATTTTTGTCTTGCTTTAACTTAATTATCACCTACAGATCCGGTTCTAAGAAAGTTAAAGCTGACGCCTTGTCTAGACAATTTGATGTTGAATCGGATCTAAAACAAGAGACATCCCCTATTATTTTTCCTGAGTGTATTATTGCAACCACTGTCCTTTCTTTATCGTCCCTTTTGAATCCAGGTTTTCTCATGGTTCCTTATAGTATTTGGTTGATTTGGAGGTGCTATTGGTCTGCTGACCATTCTTGGGTTTCGGCTTCTGATATCCATGCTGGCTGTAAAATTTGTTCTTTTCATGACAAGTTTCCTCTCAAACCTGGTCCTGCCCACCCGGTGTGCGGTCTTCAGGTGGGGGGTAATGTCACATATTCATCCTCACATAAAAATGTGGTTAATGGGGGCGGAGCTTAGCCGCCGAGCTGGATAGACGTGCTGACACAGCTCCCGCACATAAGAGACACTTACTGGGGCACCTACCCCAAAAATTGAATGGCATACCAGCAAGACGGCATGAGATCAGACCAGGTAAACCGGGGACACCTACAGATACCCGAATCAAGACAAACAACACCCGGGAACCCGGGCCTACCCACGGTCGAGCAGAGAAGAGGCGGCTGCTCTCTTCGAAGGTGAAGCATGGGACAGACAGCGATATGACCCAGAGAGGCGGGAAAGCAGAACTTCATGCGGAGCAGCCAAAATAGTGGCGGACGGCATCCCAATCAATCGGGACGGAAGGCCTGTACCACGACAACAGCCTGATTTGTCACAGCGTCTAGAGGCCATCTTTAACAGCTTTTGGGACAAACTGAGAGAATGGCAAGCGCTGTCCCGTCTCAACAAGCAAACACCACAGCCGGCAGGGCAGCAGAGCCGCGGGAGGTGAGAGGGAGACCCTTGGGTATTCAACAACTGTACTAACCTCTAAACACCTACCCTAGCCCACCCGGGCCGTGGGCCACAGGGCCTACAGCCCAGAGGCATCATCCACACAGACGGAGGTACAAGCCCCACAAATGACAGACAACTCTCAGACCCTCCGTCACTCCCACAAGAGGAGACTGAGTTGGTGGCCGAGAGATGCGGGGCAGGGGGGACACTCACTCGCACTGCGGAAGCCGGCAGAGACCCACTGATGAATCCCCACCGCCCCCCGAGAAAGGGCATCAGATGACTGGGACGCCACCCAAGGCCTCCTGACCGTGCTGCAAACCGGGCACATCACAGCTTTGGACAAGGCAGGCCACTAACCAGGGCCATGAAACATACCAAGCGGCAGGACACTTGGAGGCCCCCTAGACCACGGTGAACTCTCTCTCCATGACAGATTATTGCTAGTTAACTGTTATCGTATACTAAGGTGCCTAGCCTGTTTCAAAGCATCAAACTCCCTCTGTGTACCACGTGCTCAGAATTAGGCTATAACACCCTTTTACTCGCACACATGTGACTCTAAGCACTGACATAGTTAGGCACGACTTGCTTCGCTGATATAGAAAATACTAAGTAAAGATTACTTAGTATTAGTAAATTATGCCCCTACTCACTATGCTGTGAGTAGGGGCATGTCTAGTAATCAGTGAGCAGCCTTTAACCCCTTAAGGATACATGACATGTGTGACATGTCATGATTCCCTTTTATTCCAGAAGTTTGGTCCTTAAGGGGTTAAAAATAACAAATAACCCGTCCCCCTTCCCGAGCCCCCACTCGTGACGCGCAGGTGAGGGCTTCTAACCCGAAGGGGGTTCTATTGCCATGAGCGGTGGGTGGGGGCACTAAATTAGAATAATGGGGACCTAATGTCCTCCCCCCTCACCCCCACCCCTGAGCGGCGGGTGGGGGCCCTAAATTAGAATAAGGGAGGACCTAATGTCTTCCCCCCGGCCCCCACCCCTTAGCAGCGGGTGGCCCTAAATTAGAATAAGGGGGGGAGACCTAATGTCCCCCATGGCCCCCACCCCTGAGCGGTGGGTGGGGGCCCTAAATACTAATGGGTGGGTGTAATAGGGGGGACCCCTAAATACTAATGGGGGGCCTAATGTCCTCCCCCCAGCCCCCACCCCTGAGTGGAGGGTGGGGGCCCTAAATTAAAATAATGGGGGGACCTAATGTCCTCCCCCCTTGCCCCCACCCCTGAGCGGCAGGGGCAAGGGGGCCCTAATTAGAATAAGGGGGGGAGATCTAATGTCCTCCCCCCTGGCCCCCACCCCTGAGCGGTGGGGTGGGGGCCCTAAATACTAATAGGGGGGACCCCTAAATACTAATGGGGGGCCTAATGTCCTCCCCCCCAGCCCCCACCCCTGAGTGGCAGGTGGGGGCCCTAAATTAGAATAATGGGGGACTTAATGTCCTCCCCCTGGCCCCCACCCCTGAGCGGTGGGTGGGGGCCCTAAATACTAATAAGGGGGGACCTAATGTCCTCCCCCCCAGCCCCCACCTTATAAAGCCTTGCCCCACCCTGCAATTAGGCTCAGAGCACTCTGATTGGTGGGTGTAAGCCATCCAATCAGAGTGCTCTGACAGGTAAATGAAGAGACTGACAGGTAAGTCTCTACATTTACCTGTCACAGCACATTGGTTGGTTGGTTTGAAATCCACCAATCAGAGTGCTCTGTGTCATTTTACACAGCATGGGAAAGTTCTTTGGAATTTTTCCACGCTGTGTAATCTGACTCATAACAACACTCTGGTGGATTGAAAGTAACCAATCAGAGTTATGAGTCAAATTACACAGCGTGGGAAAATTCCAAAGAACTTTTAGAAGAAGATTTAAGAAGAAAGAAAACATCAAATGGTAAGTTTTTTTTATTTTATTTTTTTTACAGGTACTTAATTAATATAAATAACCCGCTGCTCAGGGGTGGGGGCCAGGGGGGAGGACAATAGGCCCCCCCCCACTTATTGGTATTTAGGGCCCCCTGCAGCTCCAGGTCCAGGTCGATGGAATAGGCCCATTTAAAAAAAAAATCCCTTTTTTTATTTATTTTTTATTTTTTTTACACACTACTCTTAGGTTTGCCACCTGACTGGTATTTTAAGGCACAACCGGTATTTGAGGCTGCCTGGCCGTGATGGTATTGCAGTAATACGGGCAATACAAATGCAAATATTTTTCTCAGTATAAATGGAGATTACTCTGCAATACCAGTGTTACAAAAGACTGGAAATAACTATGTTACTGTTTAATAACCGATTGATACTGTTTGCCACTGTATATGTTTAAGCCGAAAGAAACACGAATGGATTACGCGAACCATTATAAAGACTCCATTCGTGGTACGAACGAGGGACCCCCCAGAGGCTGGCGTGTGCCGCCACTTAACCCCGTCACCCCGCAAACTACCGAACGGTCGACCACCCGGCCAGCGGCGTGTGGCAGCCATTAACCACCCAGGCGGCTGCGGTTTGCGGTTAACCACAACTTAATTGATAGGCCTGGGGGAATCGACGTTCACACCCAAAGTACCGAAGAGAATCTACCGAACCATCAACCGAACGGCGACCCCCTACAGCGGGTCGTGTGGAGATCATTAACCTGTGGTTTCTGCGGTTAACCGCAGGTCAAGTACCCTTCTACCAGGTGGTCCTCATTCATGTACCGAACGGGTTCCACAACCAGACAGACAGCGGGGCTTCGCATGAACTGGTACCCGAGTTTAGTTCCACGAGTTAGAAGCGAGGTCCCGCTGCCCGCTAAACCGTCAGAAAACATGGCCGCCAACAGAGACTCACAATCCAAAATGCTGAATGGACTTTATACGGCAGAAACAGTCCATTCTGTTCGTGGGATTGGAGCGCTATTCGCATGTTTAATATATACGAACGCGAGCCTTTAGATGAATGGTAGAATGAGTTGTTTCCCTTTATTAATGTAAAAGTTATGGATTTTTATGCAGTTTTCTGGGACATAATAAAACGTGGTCTTTTGTGCGCTTGGAGATAATTAGATTGTATAACCATTGGCCTCATTATCTCCAAGCTGGGCAGGTACTAATTCAAATAATACACTGTATTGTGATTGGATATTTGTCTGTACTGTACCTGTATTCCATCAGGTCCACAGGGGGCTGTCCTTGGACCTGAGGAATCACATAAATTGCCATGCTATGTGCCAGTAAAGCCAGTTCGTTTTGACCCTCAACTTGCAGCCTCGACTCATGTTGAAGGGATCCGGGATATTGATGCTTATATCGTGCTTGGGGATATTCTACACTTGCAGCTTACTACCGAAAGAACTCCGTTCGACTCTCTGCAGCGGGAACCAGGACATCCAAGCGATCAACCCTCCTGCTAGACCGGGGGCAATCATAACAACCAGTAGGGGTCCATACTGTGTATGGAGAGAAGCAGGGATAGGAAGTTACAGCATATCCCTCCCTGCCTCTCTCTAATCACTGATACGCAGGGGAGCAGCTACACAGCACAGAGGATTCAGACAGCAGCTCCCAGCCTGCAGAGACAGCCTGCAGAG